CACCTTTAAATCATCAGTCTGGATTACTAGAAAAAAGGAGGGGGAAAGAGAGAGGGGGGAAGAGAGAAATGTTATTGTATACAATGGCTTCATGCAGCTGGTCAGGCTAAGGCCAAAGGTCAAGTAACAAAGGTCAAAGGGCTGGCTACAGATACCCCAATCGAAATACCGTATAGGAGTTTTATTTTAATTGTTGGTATAAAAATTTTGCACATTCATCCAAATTTGCCATTTGTTAATTGGTATAAATTTTTGCAATTCTTGTGCAATGTACGATTTTTCCTAGTAGGCCACACCTTTTTGTGGAATCTAATTTTGCAAAATTAATGGAAATTAGTGAAATTTATTTCGAGCCCTATGATGGTATCATATACATTTACCTGTACACTGACAACTGTCCAATGGATTCACACTAAAAGCAGTAGTGGTAGGAGGTGACTGAGTGATGGTAAGAGTACTGACATCATTAGGAGATTGAGTCCCCATCTCTCCTTTAAATATAACTAATAAGGAAACATAGTGATATATGTTTTACATTAACATTAATTGATTTTTTAGTTTAAATTCTATCAAATGGCAGTGTGTACAGATAATCACACAACAATCCTTACTAATCAATTCCAGGCTGATAGCATTAACTGTAATTAGAACAGTCAATGTGGCCAGTAATGCTAGTATATACTCCCAGTTGGTTAGTTCTTCATTGAAATATGATCTTATTCTCTTGTTTGTCCTTTTAATATGAACTGAAGGACTCACTGTAATAGTTGTAGTTTTTAGATCAACTGGTACATATGAGGTGTTTCTATAGTAAATATATATGTATTGATAAAGTGAAAATGAATTCATTTTTTATTTCTAACCTTTTTGTACAAATCTTATTTGTATCAAAAGCATCATAATACTCAGTCTCCAATTCTACCTGTGAATTGATATATGATCAAAAGAATAAACTTTATTCTTAACTGGTTGATAGGAAGGATTAGTAGTGGCTGGTGTAGCTAATAGCTGATTATTATTAGTAGAAAGAGGTATATGATCTGAGTAGCTAGGATTAGAGGAGACAGGAACCTCATAATCAGACACTGGAGCTTGTTGAATAGACACTGGTACTTCATAATCCATAGCTGCTTACAGTGACTGATCATGTGATTCAACTACTGGTATGTCAACTGTGTGAAATGTACATACCGGTAAGTTTATTTAACAATTGTGGCAGTAGCACAGTAAGTTATTTTAATGTACCGGTAGTTATGGAATAGCAAAGTGTCAAGAGGATTGAAGGAACAGTTTGCATATGCTGTACTGGTCAATATTTGTCAAATGACTCTAGCCAAGAGTATATCTACTCTTGCTGTAGCTAATGAACTAATTGAAATATTGATAAACTGCATGACTATATAATGCATACATTAAAACAATAGTTTAACTATTATTATTGCTGCCAGACTTGGAACTGCTTCCATATAAAGACAGGAACATACAGCTTTTTGATAACTTCAAAAACAGTAGTGAAATGTTAGAAATTGGTGTAGCATTACAATTACATGGATAATATACAATTGCATATTTATTTTGCAAAGACAAAATAAAATAAAAATGATAATACAAACTTGAGTCATTTTTCAAGATGGATAAAGGTATTATGATGTAATTAATCAAACAAAAATTAATGTATCGAGAGAATGGAGTTAGGAAAATTACTTTGATAGGTACAATAAGTATAATAAAATTCACACCTCACAGGGACAAAGTGGTAACTGAAACAAAGAGGAAATATTAATGATTTTCTTAATCTTTCAATGATTGTGTCATTAGAAAAATACACTTCATCAACACTTGCTTGAACCAGTTGTGTAATGGTAGTACTATTAAACTGTCCTGTAGAAATTGGAGTAACACTACCAAATGATGAGGCTATTATATGAGTCTGAAAGGTAATGGTAAGTTGCTATAAAATAGAATGAAACTTACTGTATTAGCATATGGTATTGATGCTAGGTGACAGGTTTGGAGATTAAGAAAAGACTGTACAACAATATTACATGATGTATTGACAACAACACAGTCACCATGATTGATAGTTATTGATGATGTTAGGTTTAATCCAGTTAGTGTAGGTATTCTTGGTTTATTAGACTCAGTTATCAATGTTTGTAATGATTCATTAATAATTTTAATCTGATACATATAATCATTGAGCTGTTTCAATACAACACTGATTGACATATTCTAATCAAATAATAATAATAATAAAAAATAATAATAATAATAATAAAAATAAATAATAATTATTGAACTTACTTTATCTTGTATCAGTTTATTTATCTCTTCACTTATAAATGATATTGATTCTTCTATTGCCTATACGATTACACTGAGTGACATACACCTATTACACAGCTTGTGACATAACCCATTAGTGTGTGACATACCCATTGGTTACACAACATGTGACATCAACATATACTCATTACACAGTCTGTGGCATATATAGTGTGTGACATTACTGTCCCAGTGTATGTATATACTTACTGTTAAACTTGAAGTGTTTATATCTACATAGAATGTATACATATTATAATAAATAAACACATACACTCACTATTATTAGTGCAGGTAATACAGTTAGGCTCTGATGTCTCCCTTGTAGTAATCCTGTTATTAGTTGAATTATTTGATGCTATTGTAGTGAGAGAAGATGATGAAGTTGAATTATTAACTACACCAGACATTAATAATGACGACAGTATAATAGCAGTAACTGTAATTAAAACTGTTAATGTGGCCAGTAATGCTAGTATATACTCCCAGTTGGTTAGTTCTTCATTGAAATATGATCTAATTCTCTTGTTTGTTCTTTTAATATGAACTGAAGGACTCACTGTAGTAGTTGTAGTTTTTAGATCAACTGGTAGATATGAGGTGTTGCTAATAAATGTATAAAATTGATGAAGTGAAGTTGAATTCAATTTTATTTCTAACCTTTTTGTACAAATCTTGTTTGCATCGAAAGTATCATAATATTCATTCTCCAATTTTACCTGTGAATTGATATATAGTTAATTATCAAAATAATAAACTTTATTCTTTACATACTGAAGGAGTAGTCACTGATTGATAGGAAGGATTAGTAGTGACTGGTATAGCTAATAGCTGATTATTATTAGTAGAAAGAGGTATATGATCTGAGTAGCTAGGATTAGAGGAGACAGGAACCTCATAATCAGACACTGGAGCTTGTTGAATAGATACTGGTACTTCATAATCCATAGCTGCATACAGTGACTGATCATGTGATTCAACTACTGGCATGTTAACTGTGTGTGCAATATACATAATGGTAAGTTTATTTAACAATTGTGGCAGTAGCGCAGTAAGTTATTTTAATGTACCGATAGTTATGGAATAGCAAAGTGTCAAGAGGATTGAAGGAACAGCTTGCATATGTTGTACTGGTCAATATTTGTCAAATGACTCTAGCCAAGAGTATATATCTACTCTTGCTGTAGCTAATGAACTAATTGAAATATTGATAAACTGCATGACTATATGATGCATACATTAAAAACAATAGTTTAACTAATTATTGCTGCCAGACTTGGAACTGCTTCCATATAAGGACAGAAATATACAGCTTTTTAATAACTCTAAAAACAGTAGCGAAATAATAGAAATTGGTGTAGCATTACACAAATAATATACAATTACATTTATTCTGCAAAGACGAAATGAAATAAAATGATAATACAAACATTTGGTAGATCTCTGTAGGAGCTCATGTAGATACTGGCAATCTGTTTTAAGTGAGTCATTCTAAACTTCCTCAGTACACCTAAATCCTCACTCTCTCCTAAATAGCATTTTTCATGTTATCATTTTCAAAATGAAGGTATTATAATGTAATTAATCAAACAAAAATCAATGTATGGAGAGAATGGAGTTAGTAAAGTTACTTTGATGGGTACAATAAGTATAGTAATATTCACACCTCACAGG